GCGGTGCCTGGGAGCGGCCACTGCACTCCAGTCTGGGTGACAGAGTGAGACTCCAACTCAAAACAAAACAAAACAAAACAAAAAAACAAATAGCTATCCATGCTTGTCAGTACCTAATCCTGACTTGGACCCCACACCTCTATATTAAAATAAAGTAAAAAACAAAACAAAACAAAAAACAAATACAACTTGGCGAGACCTCATCTCTACAATAAATCGAAAAATCAGCCGGGTGTGGTAGTGCGCGCCTGTAATTCCAGCTACTTGGAAGGTGAGGCGGAAGGATCGCCGGAGCCCAGCGGGTCGAGGCTGCGGTGCCTGGGAGCGGCCACTGCACTCCAGTCTGGGTGACAGAGTGAGACTCCAACTCAAAACAAAACAAAACAAAACAAAAAAACAAATAGCTATCCATGCTTGTCAGTACCTAATCCTGACTTGGACCCCACACCTCTATATTAAAATAAAGTAAAAAACAAAACAAAACAAAAAACAAATACAACTTGGCGAGACCTCATCTCTACAATAAATCGAAAAATCAGCCGGGTGTGGTAGTGCGCGCCTGTAATTCCAGCTACTTGGAAGGTGAGGCGGAAGGATCGCCGGAGCCCAGCGGGTCGAGGCTGCGGTGCCTGGGAGCGGCCACTGCACTCCAGTCTGGGTGACAGAGTGAGACTCCAACTCAAAACAAAACAAAACAAAACAAAAAAACAAATAGCTATCCATGCTTGTCAGTACCTAATCCTGACTTGGACCCCACACCTCTATATTAAAATAAAGTAAAAAACAAAACAAAACAAAAAACAAATACAACTTGGCGAGACCTCATCTCTACAATAAATCGAAAAATCAGCCGGGTGTGGTAGTGCGCGCCTGTAATTCCAGCTACTTGGAAGGTGAGGCGGAAGGATCGCCGGAGCCCAGCGGGTCGAGGCTGCGGTGCCTGGGAGCGGCCACTGCACTCCAGTCTGGGTGACAGAGTGAGACTCCAACTCAAAACAAAACAAAACAAAACAAAAAAACAAATAGCTATCCATGCTTGTCAGTACCTAATCCTGACTTGGACCCCACACCTCTATATTAAAATAAAGTAAAAAACAAAACAAAACAAAAAACAAATAGCAAGATGGTAGGCATAAATCCAATCATATCAACAAGCACATTATATATAAATGGCATAGATATTCTAGTTGAAATGACTAGATACTCTAGTTGAAAGGTAGAGATTGTAAGATTGAGTTTTTAAAATGTCAAATCCAACTTTCTATGCCCTCTAAAAAAAAGAATACACTTTAATTATAAAGACACAGACAGATTTAAAGGATGAGAAAAGATATACCATGCAGAAACTAACAATAACTAACAATAAAAAACCTGGAATGGGTATATTAATATTATACAAAGTAGACATCAAAATAAGGAATATTACCAGAGATAAAACAGGGACCTTCCTGCAAAGAAAACTCCAGGTCCACATGGATACACTGTGAAATAATACCAATCTTACAGAAACTCAGTCAGAAATAATGAAGGAGCGAACATGTTCCTACTTACTTTACCAGGTCAGCATTACCAAAACCAAAGATGTTATAAGAAAAGGAAATTATAGATCAAGATCCATCATGAACATAGATGCAAAAAATACTTAATAAAAGATTTACATTTTGATTCCAGCAGTATATGATGTTAAAACATCATAACCCATGATGAGTGAAGACATTTAAGAATCAATCAGGCCTGGCTTGGTGGTGGCTCAGCCTATAATTCCTGCACTTTGGGAGGCTGAGGTGAGTGGATTGCCTGAGCCCACCGGTTTGAGACCAGCCCGGGCAACTTGGCAAGACTGCGTCTCCATAATAAATAAAAAATTAGCTGGGTGTGGTAGCACGTGCCTGTAGTTCCGGCCACTTGAGAGGCTGAGGCGGAAGGCTCACCATAACCCAGCAGGTCGACGCTGGGGTGTGTGGTGGCCGTGAGTGTGCCACTGCACTCCAGCCTGAGCGACAGAGTGAGACTTCAACTCAAAAAAAATAAATAAATAAAAATAAAACTCAATCAAGCTGAGAATGGTGGCTCATGCCTACCAAGTAGTACCAGCTACTTGGGAGGCTGAGTGGGAGAATCATTTAAGTCCAGGAGTTCAAGGCTACAGCAAGCGATGACTGTGTCACTGTACTACAGTTTGGGTGACAGAGTGACTCTGTTTTAAATTTAAAAAAAAATCAATGTAGTTTACTTTTACTTTTTTTTTTGAGTTGGAGTCTTACTGTGTCATCCAGACTGGAGTGCAGCGGCACGATCCTGGCCACCGCAGCCTCGACCTGCTGGACTCCGGCGACCCTTCCGCCTCAGCCTTCCAGGTAGCTGGAACTATAGGCGCACACTACCACGCCCAGCTAATGTTTTGATTTATTGTGGAGATGAGGTCTCGCGAAGTTGCCCAGGCAGGTCTTGAACCCGTGGGCTCAGGCAATCCACTCACCTCCACCTCCCGAAGCACAGGATTACAGGCTGAGCCACCAAGCCCAGCTTACTTTTAATTTTTTGAAGAAATACTGTACTGTTTTTCATATGGCTGTACCAATTTACATTTCTACCAACAGTGTGCAAAGGTTCTCTTTTTTTCATGTCCTCACCAACACTTGCTAATCTTTTGACTTTTTGAAAATAGCCATCTTAACAGGTGTGAGATAATATCTTATTGTGGTTTTTAGTTGATGTGGTTTTGATTTGATGTAGTTTTGATTTGATCTGATCTGATAAACAGTGAGGTTCAACCTCTTTTCATATACTTGACCATTCAGTATGATTCACATTAGTCAAGATACGGAATCAGCCTAAGTGTCTGTTGACAAATGGATAAAAAAGATATAGTATAGAATGGGTGCAGTGGTGCATGTCTCTAGTCCCAGTTACTCGGAAGTCTGATGTGGGAACCCAGGAGTCTGAGACTAACCTTGGCAACATAGTGAGTCATAAAAAAGATATGGCATATTTATACAGTGGAATATAATTCAGTCTTAAAAAAAAAGATAAATCCTGCCATTTATAGCAACGAGAATGAACCCTGGGAAAATATGCTAAATGAAGTAAGCCACACACACAAAGACAAATAATGACCTTACTTATATGTGGAATCTAAAAAAATCAAACTTATAGTAACAGAGTAGAATGGTGGTTACCAGGTGCTGGGGAGGGGAAAAGGGAGTTATTGGCCAAATGGAACATATCTTTAGTTATAAGATGAATAATTACTGGGTACCTAATGTTTAACATGATGACTATAATTAATGCAGAATTATATACTTGAAATTGTTAAGAGAGTAGATATGAAGTGTTTGTTTCATCACTAAAAAAAGATAACTGTGAGGTGAAGGATATGTTAATTAACTTGATTGTGGTAATCATTTTACAATGTATACATATATAAAAATGTATACATATATCAAAACATATTGTATGCCATAAATATATACACATTTTATTTGTCAATTATACCTCAATAAAGCTTGAAACAAGAAGCAACAAATGAAATTCTCAATATTAACAAAATAAAGGAGAAAAATTATATGGTACTGTCAATAGATGTAGAAATAGCATTCAACAAAACTGATGACAGCAAACTAGGATTAGAAGGTATTAATGTGCTAGAAATTTGAGATTATAGATCAAAGTTTGGCAAACTGTAGTCCATGGAATCAAGTGCAGCCTATCACAGGCAAAATTCAGCCATAACCCTTGGTTTATGTATTTGTCTGTGGCTCTGGTTGTACTATTAATATCATAGTAAAGTTGAATAGTTGTAACAGATGCTGTATGGCTTGACAAGCTGAAAATATTTACTATTTGGCCCTTTATAGACAAAGTTTTCTAATCACTGTTATAGTGCAATCATAAAGAGACCCTAAATGGATAAGCAAGCCAAAAGAATGAACACCATTAAAGTACACACACATCCACACATGAAACTATGAGCAAACATTAGGAGAATCAAATAAAATGTTCAGAAACAATAATGTTAATAATTGACTAAAACTCAGTAAACTAACCAGACACTGAAGAGAAAATTAGCGAACTGGAAGGTAGACCTAAGGAAATTGCCTATACCACATTGCAGAGAGATTAAAAAAATATGAATACAAGATTAACAGAAGTAAAGCCTAAAATGAGAAGGTACAAAATACATTTAATATGAGTTCAAAAATACATTTAATTAGAGAATATTGAAAACCTGGGGGAAAAGCAAAGTTCAAAGAAGTAATGCCTAAGAATTTTCCAACACTGGTGAAAGATATGATTCTGAAGGTTAAGATGCATATTTCCAAAGCAGGAATAATAAAAATGTACTAGACACATAGTAGTGGAATTGCATAACACCAAGACACAGAAAATCTAAATGCTGCAATACATAAAGAGGCAAAATAACCCACAAACTAACTGGATATTTAGCAGACTTCTTAAGAGCAAAAACAAAAGCCAAAAGACAGTGAATAATGTCTTCAATTAGTGGAGAGAAATAAATTGCCAGTTTAGAGTTCCTTACTCAGTAAAACTATTATATAATAGTGAAAGTGAAGTTAAAAAATTTTCTAGCAAAAGTCCAAGGAGTTTATTATTCACAGATCCTTCCTGGAAAACAAATACAGAATCCACATCCAGAAGATGGAGATCAAACCACAGCAAGAATTAAGATACAAAGAGAAATAATGAGCAAAGATATTGGTAAATATATAAGTAAATCTGAGTAACTATGGATTGTAAAAATAATTTAATTATATGATTAACTTTGAGGTGCTTAAAAATGTAACAATGTAAATATCAAACAACAGTAGCGATAGTGCTGTAGAAATTATGCAATGTGGAAAGCACTAGATAAGGTATCACAAGCAAAACTGAATAAATCAGTAATCATCATAAAATAGAAATGATTTAAATTCCCTACTTAGAAGACATATATACTCAGATTGGGAAAAAAGATCGTTATTTTCTATTTACAAGAGATAATGGAATCGGAAAAGCCACATAATAGAGAAAGACCCGGCAGAGGAAGGTATTAACCAAAAAAACTTTTCAGTTAAAATAGAATTTAAGACTGGGTGCGGTGGCTCATCCTGTAATCCCAGCACTTTGGGAGGCCGAGGTGAGAGGATTGCCTGAGTCTGCAGGTTCGAGACCAGCCCGGGCAACTTGGTGAGACCTTGTCTCTACAATAAAAAATCACAAAAACTAGCCAGACATGGTGGTGTGTGCCTGTAGTTCCAGCTACTTGGAAGGCTGAGGCGGAAGGATCACCTAAGTCCACTAGGTGGAGGCTGTCAGTGTGCCACTGCACTCCAACCTGGGCGACAAGAGTGAGACTCCAACTTAAAAAAAAAAAAAAAAGAATTTAAATCAGAAATTATTATTTGGAATAAAGGCTATTAGTAAAATTGATAACCAATTCTTCTGAAAGAATCTGGATACAGTGTAAATTGTATAAAGCAAAATTATATCTCTTTACAGAATATATTAGAAAATCAAAGAAATAGAAAACCTGGTAATATTATGAGAGTCTGATAAGTTACATGAATCAAGATAAATACAAAAATTACTTTCCTCTATACTTTTTTCTTAGCTTTTTTATTTTATATATTTATTTTTTTGAGTTGGAGTCTCACTTTGTCACCCAGACTGGAGTGCAGTGGCCGCTCCCGGCCACTGCAGCCTCGACCTGCTGGGCTCTGGAGATCCTTCTGCCTCAGCCTTCCAAGTAACTGGAGCTATAGCCACGCGCTACCACTCCCAGCTAATTTTTGATTTATTGTAGAGATGAGGTCTCACCAAGTTGCCCAGGCAGTCTCGAACTGTGGGCTCAGGCAATCCACTCACCTTGGCCTCCTGAAGTGCTGGGATTACAGGTTGAGCCACTGAGCCTGACCTGCTTTTTTATTTTAAAGATGTGGGGTACAATTCAGGGTTAGGTATACAGATGTTCATTATGCAGGTACCCTTGTTGATGAGGTGTGCCCTCCCCCAGGCAATCTCGCTTCCCCACCCACTTCTGGCAGTTTCCTGACTGCCAATCCTTTCCTTACAGTATTACGATAATTGTTCAAGTTCTGCTTATGAGGAGAATATAGGATACTCAGTTCTTTGTTCCTGTGAAAGATCACTCAGAATTATAGACTCTAAGTCCATCCAGGTTGCTGTGAAGTTCATGATTTTGTTCTTTATGGCTGCATAATATTCCATCATGTACATGTGCCACATTTTTTTTATCCAGTCCTCTTTTGATGGGCAGCACAGTTGTCCTCTATACTTGTTAAAATTAATTAGAAAAGGGAATTTAAAAAATCACACAGTGACCACAAAACATTATAAGTACCTAGGAGTAAATATAACAAGAATTAATATCAAGACTGAAACTAGCCGGGTTCAGTGGCTCAGCCTGTAATCCCGTGCTTTGGGAGGCCGAGGTGAGTGGATTGCCTGAGCCCGCGGGTTTGAGAGCTGCCTGGGCAACTTGGCAAGACCTCATCTCTACAGTAAATAAAAAAAAAATTAGCCGGGCGCCTGTAGTTCCAGCTACTTGGAAGGCTGAGGTGGAAGGATCGCCGGAGCCCAGCAGGTTGAGGCTGCGATGGCCGGGAGTGTGCCACTGCACTCCAGTCTGTGCGACAGAGTGAGACTCCAACTAAAAAAAAAAAAAAACAAAAAAGACAAACTGTGAAGACTCATATAACAATTCTGGGTGGGGTGACTTCAGTTATAATAATATCAAATGCCTCTAATTCATATAAATTTAACTTGTTTTTAGTCACAATGCTAAGTTTTTTTGAAGGGAGTCATGCAAAATTATTTTAAAGTTCATATGGCAGACTATATGTCCAAAAGAGCCAAGAAAACAATGAAAAAAGAAGAGTAGAATAAGACATACTTTCCATAAAACCCATGTTATCAAAGCAGTGTGGTATTGGCACTTTGAAAAAATTATCATCTCCCTAAGGAAACTTTTTTTTTGAGTTGGAGTCTCACTCTGTCACCCAGACTGGAGTGTAGTGGCATACTCATGGCCACTGCAGCCTCGACCTGCTGGGCTCAGCCTTCCAAGTAACTGGAACTACAGGCATGCGCTGCCATGCCTGGCTAATTTTTGTGATTTATTGTAAAGATGAGGTCTCACCAAGTTGCCCAGGCTGGTCTCGAACCCCCAGGCTCAGGCAATCCTCTCACCTTGGCCTCCCAATGTGCTGGGATTACAGGCTAAGCTGCTGCACCCAGACAGGAAACTTTTAAAGACATTTTTTATTCTAATTGCCTCCCTTCATACAATTTTAATATTACAAATATACTGTATGTCAGCTTATGTATTTTATAAATATATTATGTATCTGTTTATATACTTTATAAATATCTGTAATTTATGCATAAAAAGAATAAGTCTTTTTATGTCCAGCCCCAAACCAGTTTTTGGTCCTTGGAGGCAACTTTGCTCACATTGAGAGTGCATGGTTTAGTGGCAAAAAGAGTTTATAAATGCTGCGGTCATAATTTGAGATCCATCTGGAAGGAAAGAAAACCAACCCCCTATTTCACTCCAAAGCAAAATGGATAAAATATTTAAGTGTAAAAGAGAAATAAAATATTTAGAATAAATTAAGTGAATTTAAATGTGTACCATAGTAGTCAAGGAGACCCTTTATGAAAGCCTAGAAGTCATCAAAGATAAGGTAGACACATTTTACTAAATGAAATAAAATTCTGTATAGTAAAAAGTACCTTTATTTAATTTACTTAATTTTACTTAACAAATCTTTGATGAGCATCTACTATATGTAAGGTGCTTTTCTAAGCACAGAGATTCAGCAGTGAACAAACAATGTCCTTGTCATAGAGTTTACATTCTCATGAGGGATTCTCTTTATGAGTCAATAAACAAAAATAAATATTTATTTTTTTTGAGTTGGAGTCTCACTCTGTCCCCCAGACTGGAGTGCAGTGGCTGCTTCCGGCCACTGCAGCCTCGACCTGCTGGGCTCCAGTGATCCTTCCGCCTCAGCCTTCCAAGTAGCCGGAATTACAGGCATGCGCTACCACACCCGGTTGATTTTTTGATTTATTGTAGAGATGAGGTCTCGCTGCCCAGGCGGGTCTCGAACCCGCGGGCTCAGGCAATCCACTCACCTCAGCCTCCCAAAGTGCTGGGATTACAGGCTGAGCCACCGAGCCCTGCAAAAAAATAAATATTTAATGTTAGGTAGGGTTAAATGCTATAAAAACATAAATTAGGGCAAAGGGATAGAGAATGGGGGTTACAATTTTAGTTGGGGTAATCAAATTTGAAGATCTTTTTTTTTTTTTGAGTCGGAGTCTCACTGTCGCCCCAGCTGGAGTGCAAGTGGCATGCTCACAGCTACCGCAGCCTCACCTTGGTGGGCTCAGGTGATCCTTCCACCTCAGCCTTCCAAGTGGCTTAACTACAGGCATGCGCCACCACACCTGGCTAATTTTCTTTGATTTATCGTAGAGATGAGGTCTTGCCAATTGCTCGGGCTGGTTTCAAACCATGGGCTCAGGCAATCTTCTCACCTTGGCCTCCCAGATTGCTGGGGTTATAAGCGTGAGCCACTGCACCTGGCCTGAACTTCTTGATGAAAGAAGTGAGCAGTTGTCAGATTCAGGATATAATTTTAGGGGATAGGTCGACGAATTGGACATACAGAAAGAATGAGTAGAATGGGAAAACATATTTCCAACTCAAATGGCAGATGAAAAATTAATATGAAAGCACCTAAAATTTGAATTTAAAAAAGGACAAATCACTGGTTTGAAAGAAAATTCACATCCCAATAAAAAGTACAATCCCATTCACAATAGCCAGAAAAAAAATCAAATACCTTGGCATCTTCCTAACCAGAGACGTGAAAGACCTTTACAATAAAAACTACAAAATGCTACTCAAAGAAATCAAAGATGACACAAACAAATAGAAAAATATTCCATCTCATGGATTGGAAGAATCAACATTTTTAAGATGTCCGTCCTATGAATTGCCAAAACAATCCTCAACAAAACAAAAAGAAACACACACACACACACACACACACACACACACACACACACACACACACACACACACACACCAACAAAGCAGGAGGTATCGCACTCCCAGACTTAACTCTATTATAAAGCTACAATAAGTAAAACAGCCTGGTGTTGGTACAAGAACAGGCAGATAGACCAGCGGAACAGAATAGAGATTCCAGAAGCAAAACCTCAATTTCTCAAGCAACTCCTCTTTGACAAAGCCTCTGCCACCAACGACTGGGGAGAGAAGAACCTATTCAGTAAATTGTGCTGGGAAGACTACTGACCACATGCAGAAGATTAAAACAAGATCCCTACCTATCACCATATACAAAAATCAACTCTAAATGGATCAAAGACCTAAAAGTAAAACCTCAAACTATAAGAATCTTAGAAAATGCAGGAGAGGAAGGAGGCAGTGGTAACGCGGGGCTACCCGCTGTTACCGAGGAGTAACCGCCCAGCGACGGGGGAACTGGCAACAAAACCACAGGGGGGTTGGCCGGCTTTTCCGAAGCCGGCGGAGCAGGTTACTCCCACGCGGATTTGGCTGGCGTCCGCTAACTGGTATGAACCCTCTGTCTCCTTATTTAAATGTGGATCTACGATATCTTGTGCAGGATACAGATGAGTTTATTTTACCAACTGGAGCCAATAAAACCAAGGGCAGATTTGAACTGGCCTTCTTTACCATTGGAGGATGTTGCATGACAGGCGCTGCATTTGGAGCAATGAATGGTTTTCGGCTAGGATTGAAGGAAACCCAGAACATGACCTGGTCCAAACCAAGAAATGTACAGATTCTGAATCTGGTGACTAGGCAAGGGGCACTTTGGGCAAATACTCTAGGTTCTCTGGCTCTGCTCTATAGTGCATTTGGTGTTATCATTGAGAAAGCAAGAGGTGCAGAAGATTACCTCAACACAATAGCAGCTGGAACCATGACGGGCATGTTGTACAAATGTACAGGTGGTCTTCGAGGGGTAGCACGGGGTGATCTGACAGGACTAACACTTAGCAGCTTCTATGCACTATATAATAACTGGGAGCACATGAAAGGTTCCTTGCTTCAACAGTCACTCTGAAGGCTTTGCCAACCCATGAATGAAGGACACTTCAGTAGTCATCCAGATCAATTTATAAGTCAGTCTGGAGTTATTCTCTCTCCTACCTACAATTAGTTTGAAAAATTGGAGATTCTGGTTTGCTGTGATGAAGATGAAGATGGTTGACCCAGGACAGGCATTTCTTCCAGCCATTTGTGAGCTGAAGCCAAAGGTGGCTCACTGAGTGAAGTGGTTTTCTTCTACTTTGGAGAAGATCTTGCATCTCTCTGTTTTCTTTCTTCCCCTCTGAAAACCACTTACTCCAAAAATTCAGGTCATGCTTGTTGTCACTACTTTTATCACCAAGTCTGTTCATTTAATGATCTAAAACTGTAATGTTGCACTGTATTCTGAATAAAGGGTAAAAACAGAAAAAAAAAAAAAAAAAAAAAGAAAGAAAATGTAGGAGATACCCTTATGGAAATTGGAACTGGCAACCAATTCCTGATCAAAACCCCAAGTGCCCATGCCATAAGAGATAAGATAGACAAGTAGGACCTCATCAAACTGACTAGCTTCTGCAAAGCCAAAGAAACGATCAAGAGAGTGGGAGACAGCCCACAGACTGGGAAAAAATATTTGCCAACTGTATATCTGACAAAGTCCTAACATCTAGGATATACAAGGAATTCAAATGTGCCAAAAAGAAAAAAACAGCCCCATTACAAAGTGGGCAAAAGATATGAATAGACACTTCTCAACAGAAGACATATGAGCAGCCAACAGATACACGATAAAATGCTCAGTCTCACTAGTCATCAAAGAGATGTAAATTAAAACTACACTGAGATACCACCTAACTCCAGTCAGGATGGCTATCATCAATAACTCAAAAAACAACATGCTGGAGAGGATGCGGCAAAAAGGGAACACTTTTACACTGTTAGTGGGAGTGTGAACCAGTACAGCCTCTGTGGAAAACAGTGTGGCAACCTAAAAGATCTAAAAATTGACCTTCTATGTGACCCCACAATCCCCTTTCTGGGATTATACCTGGAAGAACTCAAACCACTCTATAAAAAAGATATCTGCACATGTATGTTTATTGCAGCATTGTTCACAATAGCAAGAACAAGGAACCAACTGTACTATCCATCAAAAGAGGATTGGATAAAAAAATGTGGTACATATACACAATGGAATATTATGTAGTCATAAAGAAGAACAAAATTGTGAAAGCCACAGCAACCTGGATGGACTTAGAGTCTGTAATACTGAGTGATCTTTCACAGAAACAAAGAACTGAGTATCACATGCTCTCACTCATAAGCTGACAGTTATGATATTGAACAGTTATCATAATACTCTAAGAAAAGGATTGGCAGTAGCCGGGAAACTGCAGGGAGGGGGGCGGGGAAGCAGGATTGGCAGTGGTGGGAATCTGCCTGGGGACGTGGGGCACAGCTCATCAACAAGTGTACCTGTGTAATCAATGTTTGTATACCTAACCCTGAATTGTACCCCGCGTCTTTAAAATAAAAAAAATTAAGCTGGGCTTGGTGGCTCAGCCTGTAATCCCACACCTTGGGAGGCTGAGGTGAGTGGATTGCCTGAGCCCGCGGGTTCGAGACCCGCCTGGGCAACTTGGCGAAACTTCACATCTACAATAAATCAAAAAAATTAGCCGGGCGTGGTAGCGCACCTGTAGTTCCAGCTACTCGGAAGGCTGAGGCGGAAGGATCGCGGAGCCCAGCAGGTTGAGGCTGCAGTCGCTGGGAGCGGCCACTGCACTCCAGTCTGAGTGACAGAGTGGGACTCCAACTCAAAAAAAAAAAAAAAAAGGAAAATTCACAGGAAAGGGAATCCTAAGTACTAATAAACTTATGAAAAAAATGTTTAGTATATAAGCAGTCAAAAAATACAATTAAAGGAATAGTTAGATACCACTTTTCTTGATAGACAAAAATTCAAAATAGCTACTGTTTATAGCACAGTGAGAGTGTGGGGAAACTAGAACTCTCACATTCCTGTTGGCATGGGAATTATTATAATTTGAGGAAAGTATTTAGGTAATATTATTAACATTAAAAATGTGTATTCCTTTTGATTTGGCAATCTTACTTTTGGATATCTATCCTAGAGAAATAAAATTCTCATCATGTACAGGGATGTTTTTTGCCAAATCATTGGGCAACGGCAAAGACATTTAGCCAAAGACAAAAAGCTGGGAAAAAAAAGCTGTATTTAGCCAAAGACAAAAAGCTGGGAATAAGCTAAATGCCTATATTTGAGGAAATGGAAGAATAAGCAGCAATTCATTCACACTTCTAGATGCTATGCTAATAAAATGTTAGATTGATGTCTGTTATCTGAGAGGGGTGTCTGTGATATATTATCAGGTGAATGAACTAAGTTGCAAAATTATGTATGTAATTTGACCACAGTTTTAGAAAAAATTTCCTACATTTACTTGTATTTTGCATTTATGTTTATATGAATATGGATTAAGATAAGAAATTTATAGGACGTTAACACTATGGGTTTTTAATTTTTGAAGAGGAACTTAATAGGGTTTAAATAAAATATTTATTGAAACTTGTGTTACAATGTGTATAATCTGTAATGTGGTATTTCTTAGGTTTGACTGTTCATTCTTGGCAGGTACTCAGGCTTCTGGATGTTGATGGATAAGAGTATCTTTATTCTGTAAACACTAGGAAAATAAGCTTATATTTTTTCAAAACCACAATTGGAACTTTCCAGGTAGAGTGTAGGAACACTAGTTGTTTTTCCTACTCATAATTGTCTTAAAGGGGAAGAGTAATGGAATTTCATAAAAAACAAAACTGGATATTTTGATCAGTTTTTCAACTTATCTTTTTATTCCTTTGGATTCTGTTTTTTCTGTCTTTATCTTGAGCCCTTTATGAGTTCCCTGTATTCAGTTTCTAGATATGCCAGTTATAACCTAGGGTGAGAGATATTTGGGGGCAAATGGGAAACTGCATTTTATTTTTATTATTATTATTTTTTTGAGTTGGCGTCTCACTCTGTCACCCAGACTAGAGTGCAGTGGTACGCTCCCCGGCCACCGTAGCCTCCACCTGCTGGGCTCCGGCGATCCTCTGCCTTCCAAGTAGCTGGAACTACAGGTGTGCACTACCACGCCTGGCTAATTTTTGATTTGTTGTAGAGATGAGGCCTCACCAAGTTGCCTAGGCAGGTCTCGAACTCGCGGGCTCAGGCAATCTACTCACCTCAGCCTCCCAAAGTGCTGGAATTGCAGGCTGAGCTACCGAACCAGGCTGAAAACTGCATTTTAAATGCACTATTTACCCAGGGAATCTTTAATTGTAATAGGAGCCACACCAATTTTATATAAATTATTTCCTAATATTCTTGTGTTTCTCATTCAGCTTCATTATCTCCAAGGTCACTTTTCTGCTTTTCTATGTTCTGCTCCTAAATGTAAAATAACTAATTGTATGGATTCTGCTTATTCTTGTGAATGAGTCATTTGACATTTGTTTAAGCTTTTTTTTTTGAGTTGGAGTCTCACTCTGTCGCCCAGCCTCGACCTGCTGGGCTCTGGCGATCCTTCCGTTTCAGCCTTCCAAGTAGCTGAAACTACAGGTGCGCGCTACCACACCCGGCTAGTTTTTGATTTATTGTAGAGATGAGATCTCGCCAAGTTGCCCAGGTGGGTCTTGAACCCGCTGGCTCAGGCAATCCACTCACCTCAGCCTCCCAAAGGCGCGGGATTACAGGCTGAGCCACTGAGCCCGGCTGTTTTAGCTTATATGTAAAGCTAAATTCATCACCATTGATTTCGGGTACGTTTCATATTTCTGCCTTTATATTGCAACTATCTTAGAAGTACATACTTAAGAATTTTCCTAAAAATTTCATCATTTTGAAAACATCATGTCATTTTGAAAGCTTATCCTCTTTCCCTTCCTTTAAAAGGGATATTTTGAGATTTCTACATCTGTATCTTTAAGGGAAGGTTAACAGTTGTTTTAAAATTACCTGTTTTTCAGTGGCCTTTAAAGAATGTTTAACAAAAATATCATAGTTGGGACATTCTATTGTATGATTTTCTTTTCTTCTTCTTTTTTTTTTTTGAGTTGGAGGCTCACTCCGTTGCCCAGACTGGAGTGCAGGCTCAGGCAATCCACTCACCTTGGCCTCCCAAAGTGCTGGGATAACAGGCTGAACCCATACTGTATGATTTTCTGGCTGTTAATGACGTAGTCTGAGTGAAAATGTTTTGACCCCAGGTTGAAAGTCGTGGAGAAGATAGAAGAGGGTTTCCATAGATCCATCTCTTCTGAATCCTTGCTTCAGTGGGGTATACACACAGATATGGAGTCAGCTGAATTGGGTTGTTGAAATCTATTTACAGTTTTTTTTTCTTTTTAACAATTACCTTGACAGGGATCCTGCCTTTTTAGCAGAAATCAGAGAGAAGCTGCATTAGTCATGGTCTTCTTAAACCTACTAGTTAACTGCCAGATGGACCAGAGAGAGCTATATATATATATTAAAAAAAAGACATGAAGATGATGAAAACCTAATACTTTGAACTATGTGAAAAGTTTTGTGGTCATAAATTTTCCCTGATAACAGCATAATGTGTGCAAGAAATAAGTCAATTAAGATGGTGAAACCTCTAAATGCGTATTTTCCAGAGACATAAAAAGTAACTCATGATATACAAATTCCATGTTCAATATATGTCCTTTCTTTTATCATCCTTTTTTTTTTTTTTTGGCAGTTCAGCTTTGCTAAATCTATTTAGCTCATCAAAGACTTGAGGATTTTGTGACCTCTAAAATTACCTGTGGTAGGGCTATGAGAACACAGTACACATCTGCATAGTGGTTTGGATTGTGCTAGAAGATGTGCAAATACTCCCTTAAAGTTGTACTTGGGTAGACTGAAACATTTATGAAACATTTTATACTTTTGGGCAAAGACTAAAATCTAGTTTCTCTTCTTTTTTCATAAAACTTCAAAGAATCAGCAGGGCGAAAAGATTTTTTCCTTTCCTGTTTGGAAAACCCCTAGTTAGTTAAAATAAATTTTTTTTTTTTTTTTTGAGTTGGGGTCTCTGTCGCCCAGACTGGAGTGCAGTGGCCGCTCCCGGTCACTGCAGCCTCGACCTGCTGGGTTCTAGCAATCCTTCCGCCTCAGCCTTCCAAGTAGCCGGAACTACAGGCGTGCGCTACCACGTTTGGTTGATTTTTTAATTTATTGTAGAGATGAGGTCTCGCTGCCCAGGCGGGTCTCGAACCTGCGGGCTCAGGCAATCCACTCACCTCAGCCTCCCAAAGGCGCGGGATTACAGGCTGAACCACCGAGCCCGGCTAAAATAATTTTATATTTTGAATTATAGACTAAGGAAGTCTGTTTGGAAGGAACCATAATGACAATTTATTCCAATTACTCAGCTGTTTCCTGGAAGTCTCCTCTGTAGCTTTCTCACTGAATTATTAAACAACCTTAAACTCTGGTTTATAGTCTTTTGGGAACCCCACTTCCGCTTTTTACTGAGATAAAACTTGTTAACTCGTATCTTGCATTCACTGGTCTTATTTTCTTTGGGCTGTACAAAATATTCTAATCCATGATGAACCTTCATATACTTGAAAATAATTTTTATTGTTTCCTGATATTCCCCCCTCTTCCCACCAGGTGAACTGTGCAACTTTCTGCTCACTTGAGCCTTTCTTCTGAAGACACTTCAGTTTATTCACACCCCATGACAGAGCTGAGTGTAATATTCAGGGTTTGGGAATAGAGTAGTATAAAATAATATTTCTAAAAACTATATGTTTAAAACAGACTAAAATTAATTACCTTTTTTGGAGCTTTGGGAGACATACTGCACAGCTACTTGTGTTCTTATATTCCTTGTGTTCTTAGCTTCCTTTTCCTAGCTACTTTTCTTTGGAAAGTGCTCTTTACAAATTTATCAGTCCCAAATAGCAGCTACAATGGTGTCTTTCAATACTTATTTTCCTCTAAGTCTCACCTGTCCTTTAATCATCCATTCTTCTTGAAATATTCATCTTTCTTAAGTATCACAACATTTCATTTTACAGGGTTTTCTTATATCTCCCCATCCTTTACTTAACGTTCTTTTTCAACATATTACATATAACAATCTCAGTTCTTGGACTCCTGCTTTTGGTAGCCCACACTTCTCCTTTGAAATACTCATTTACTCTTATGTCTTCAACTATTACCACCACTCCTCTAACTCAGACCTCTCTTTAATGACAAGTGTTACTGTTTATCCCCTTAAGCTCAACAATTTGTTATTCCATCCCTGTCCCTCAAACTACTCCTAGTTTGTTACATATTTTCTGCCAATAGTTTCAAAGTTATGAAGTTGTTAACTGTTTTGTTTCTTTTCCTTACACATGTCAGTCATCCTTATGTGGTGATTTTTTGAAAAAATATATCTATCTCTTCATTTATTCTCTTTCCATCACTCACTACAAGTACTTTTTTTTTTTGAGTTAGAGTCTCACTCTGTCACCCATACTGGAGTGCAGTGGCCGCTACCTGCCACTGCAGCCTCGACCTGCTGGGCTACGGCGATCCTTCCGCCTCAGCCTTCCAAGTAGCCAGAACTGTAGGTGCGCGCTACCACGCCTGCTAATTTTTTGATTTACTGTAGAGATGAGGTCTCGCCAAGTTGCCCAGGTGGGTCTCAAACCGGTGGGCTCAGGCAATCCACTCACTTCAGTCTCCCAAAGCGCGGGATTACAGGCTGAGCCACCAAGCCTGGCTTCCAAGTACCTTTTAACTAGATCTACCTATGATGTTTCTTTCTTCAATCTATTTATTACAGTCTCAAGACTAACACTTTGTGTGTGTGTGTGTGTGTGTGTGTGTGTAATGAAACCGTATTCACTTCACTCTCCTTCTCAAACACTGCAGGTTTCCAGCTGCCTGAAGACTAAAATGTAAGTTCCTGGTTTTTCAAATCTCTTCACATTCTCCTTTTTAGAAGTTTACGACAGAATGCTTCCTGTGGGTCTGCTTCAACAACTAGAAGCATCTAGACCAAGGCATGGCAACCTTTAACCTCTTTGCCTTTCTTCTGCTCTTTCTATTTCACCCAGTATATCAACATCTTATCCATCTTTTGAGACTCATCCAATACCACTACCCCCTTCCCTGTGAAGGCATTGCTTTTACTGTCTCATCCCAAGGTGGGTTATACTGTTCATCTAAACATCTTTTTGTCACCTAGAGTTTATTTTTAAAAATCGTCATGCATGCATATATCACTATATATGTTACAAGCTACTTGATTGCAGGGACTCTGACTTGTATTTTTCTGTATATTCCTAATTGCTAGAACAGCGCCTTGAAAACATTGGCCTCACCATGAGGAGTCATTAGTTGATTGGTTGGATCGGCTATCATTGAGATACTTGTTAAAGGAAATCATTATACATTTCTTCAATTAAAATGTTTTAATTCAGAAGGTATCCAGTCTTTCTTGACTGAATAATATATATATTAAGTTATAAAACAGAGATTTGGAAACTGAGGTTTGTGGCTGAGAAATTTAAAAATGATGAAACTTCTGAAGAGGAGAAACTCTGCAGATATAATAATTAAAGGAATATTATAATTATAATCCACTCAGGCAATGTTGGTAATATGGTTTGTATCTGAAGAATGGGAATCATAATGATCATTTGTCTTATGAGCCTTCCTTTTATTTACACTTACTCTTCTACCTTTTTGTTGTACTTCTTTCTTTTACTTGCCTTTGCCCTTTACTGGGACTTTTGTTTTTTTCTTGATTTCTGATTCTTCCTTTCCTTTAGCTTTGGCTTTTCCTCATCATGTTTCTTGTTTTCAGCATCTTTTCCTTCATCTTGATTTTTCTCTGCATCTCCCTCCTTTTCTTTGTCTTTCTTTACTTTATCCTCAGAACCCTTCCTTCCTTGAGTTTTCTGTCCTTTAGGGACATCTAACTCACTCTTGTTTATTTGGGCTTCCTCTCCTTTAGATTCACCTGCCTCACTGTTTTCGACTTGGGCTTCCTGTTCTTTCAGTACATCCACCTCACTCTTCTTTACGTGGGCTTCCTGTCCTTTCAATTCACCCGCTTCACTTATCTCTATTTGTGCTTCCTGTCCTTTGGATACATCCACCCTGCTCTGCTCTTCTTTGGCTTCTTGTTCTTTTGCTATATCTACCTCGCTCATCCCTGTTTCGTCTTCCTGTCCTTTTGGTTCATTTGACTCACTCTTTTCTCTTTGGGCTTCCTGTCCTTTTGATTCACGTGACTCACTCTTTTCTCTTTGGACTTCCTGTCCTTTTGATTCACCTGACCCACTCTTTTCTGCTTGGACTTCCTGTCCCTTTGATTCACCTGACCCACTCTTTTCTGCTTGGACTTCCTGTCCTTTTGATTCACCTGACCCACTCTTTTCTGCTTGGGCTTCCTGTCCTTTTGATTCACCTGACTCACTCTTTTCTGCTTGGGCTCCCTGTCTTTTTGATTCACGTGACTTACTCTTTTCTCTTTGAACTTCCTGTCTTTTTGATTCACGTGACTTACTCTTTTCTCTTTGAACTTCCTGTCTTTTTGATTCACCTGACTCACTCTTTTCTGCTTGGACTTCCTGTCCTTTTGATTCACCTGACTCACTCTTTTCTGCTTGGGCTTCCTGTCCTTGTGATTCACCTGACTCACTCTTTTCTGCTTGGGCTTCCTGTCTTTTTGATTGTGACTTACTCTTTTCTCTTTGGACTTCCTGTCTTTTTGATTCACGTGACTTACTCTTTTCTCTTTGGACTTCCTGTCTTTTTGATTCACCTGACTCACTCTTTTCTACTTGGACTTCCTGTCCTTTTGATTCACCTGACTCACTCTTTTCTGCTTGGGCTTCCTGTCTTTTTGATTCACGTGACTTACTCTTTTCTCTTTGAACTTCCTGTCTTTTTGATTCACCTGACTCACTCTTTTCTGCTTGGACTTCCTGTCTTTTTGATTCACCTGACTCACTCTTCTCTACTTGGACTTCCTGTACTTTTTGTACTCCCAACTCACTCTTTTTTGCTTGAGCTTCCTGTCTTTTTGGTACATCCGATTCACTCTTCTTTATTTGGGATTCTTGTCTTTTTAGTATTCTAGTGTCACTCTTTACCTTGACCTCCATTCCTATCTTGCCTTTCTCTAAATCAGTGCCTTTTACTTTTCTTTTTGGATACTTTTTGCATATTAATATCAAGGATTCATCAGAATCTGTAAACATGACTTCATTCTTTAGTGCTTTCTTGTTTTCTTCTTGGTTATTCTGAGATCTTGTAGTACCTCCACGTTTTAGAATCTGGGCTTTATAATTGGATTTTTTTGCAAGTTTTCCATCCATGTAACCTGGAAATATGGCTGACAAAACAACAAAAATACATTATTCAGATATCAAGTATTTTTCTCTTTATTTCTGTTTCCCCCTCATATTTGTTTCTTTTCATGTCTTAAAACTAACATACTGGAGATAGCTTGATATTTTCCTGAATCTCAAGTAATCTAAAATGGTGAATCTCTATACATACAATTATGGGAGTACTGATAAAATTCTAGACTCTTTTCAATAAATTGGAAGACTAATGAGAAAAAGAGTAAAATGTACTGTATATGAACTGATACTTTTTCAGCAGATTATGACTAATGAATAATGCTTAGCAGTTACCAGGGGATGTATTCTGAAAATAAACTATTTTAGGGAAAAATTATGGGAAGAAGCAATAATTATCTTTTAACTAGGAAAAGGAAACTCAAATATGCTTTCCATATCAAATAAGAGCACGTCTCATTATGCAAAAGTAATAACAGTACTAGCTAATAATTATCAAAAGCTTACCGTATACCAGGTACTCACTGTTTTGAGCATTTTATGTATTACATCATTTAATACTCAATGACAATCATATAGGGAGGCACTATTATTATCCCCATTTTACAGATGAAGAAATTGAGGTACAGAAAGCTTAAATGAATGTAAATAAGGCCATGTAATCAGAAAGTGGTACCTTTGGGATTTGAACCTGCATAGTCAGACTGCAGGGTTCAGTTTCAGTCATTACTTTAGACTATTTCCTGAAATATCTACTTATTCACTTTGCAAAAATTTCAGTTTCTTTGATTGTGTTCAGGTAAATTAGCTCTGCTATGTCTCAATTCCTATGTTACTTAGTAAACTTGAATTTGTTATCTTCTGATAGGTATTTGTGTTTATTTACTTTATTTTTATTTTTTTATTTTTTGAGTTGGAGTCTCACTTTGTCGCCCAGACTGGAGTGCAGTGACCACTCTTGGCCACTGCAACCTCGACCTGCTAGGTTCCGGCTATCCTTCCGCCTCAGCCTTCCAACTAGCTGGAACTACAGGCGCGCACTACCACACCCAGCTAATTTTTTGATTTATTGTAGAGATGAGGTCTCTCCAAGTTGCCCAGGCGGGTCTCGAACCCGCGGGCTCAGGCAATCCACTCACCTCAGCCTCCCAAAGCGCTGGGATTACAGGCTGAGCCACCGAGCCTGGCTGTGTTTATTTACTTTAAAAAGTAATTTGGTTCCCTGAATTAAGCTATCAAGGAGTTGTGTGAGTTCTTGCTGTGGTGTAGAGACTTATCTTGCTTTGAGAAGAATCTAGTTTTTAATATAGTAGAAAGAATACTGAATTTAAAAGCTGAATTAGAAGATCTGGGTTTACTAATCCTGCTAGCTGCTATTTGGGTGAATCAGTCAATACTCAAAGACTCACTTTTATTTAATCTGCTCTTTTCACTTTGAAGAGTTATTAAAGATTGTAGACAAATATTAAAGGAACATAGCCTTTGGAGACAGACTAGTTCAAATCATGGCTTTACACCTGACTAACTGGGGGACCTTGGGCAAACTTGACTTTCTTGTCTGTAAAATGGGTGCAATAGTAGTAGCTACCTCAAAGAGGTGTTATGAGAATTAAATAATGTTAGCTAAGTAAAATCATTCAGTCCAGTGCGTGGAATATATAATAAGTAGTCAGTAAATATTGACCACTACTGCTAGAAATGAATACAGGCAAAAAGTCTCTGCTCCAATTAAGACAAGGCATTCTTAGTTTCCAACAATAATTTAGAAGAGTAGTAGTTAATTTTATTACAAAGAAAAATTTCTTGTTTACAAATTATCAGACTTTTTGTTTTTTACCTTTAGGGTTTGATGTTTAAAAAATTGGCATATATGCAACCTCACAATTTTATCAGTTGCAAAAATGAAGGACATACGTATTTAGTTAAGAAGATAATTATAAATCAAAAGGATGTTCTAGTTCAGTCTTTTGGTTTTTTTTAAAATTTCAAACTTTTGACATCAAAATAAAAATAACATTAGGAACCTTGCATTATGCTTTCTGAATCCCTTTGAATATTTTACCCCTTAATGCTCTTCATTAAAATATGGTTACTGATATTTTATTCTAGACAAGCCAATTTTCCATTTTCTCATGAAAACCAGTGGTAACATATCCCAAGCATTGTTAAATTGATAAAAATAGTCCAGAATATTTTGATCTTTGGCAGTACTACCAGTGGGCATTGTTTTGTTTGGGTAAGGGTGTGGTGTGGAATAGGATAGAGAAGAGCATGCTTTTCCAAAGAAGCTTCTAACTTTAAGAATTCTGTGGAACATATCTCTCAAACAAGCTGATTTTTCTTAATATACAAATATTTTTAGTTTTATCATCTCTTAGGGGCAATTGCTTCTACTTATAATACTGCATGACCTTTTTTTTTGAGTTGTAGTCTCACTTTGTCATCTAGGCTGGCGTGTGCTGGTGTGATCATGGCTCACCCCAGCCTCAACCTCTTGGGCTCAGGTGATCCTTCTGCCTCAGCCTTCCAAGTAGCTGGGACTACAGGTGCACTCCATCATGCCCAGCTAATTTTTAAATGTTTTGTAGAGACGAGGTCTCACCAAGTTGCCCAGGTTGGTCTTGAACTCCTGGACTCAAGTAATCCTCTTGCTTTGGTCTCCCAAAGTGCTAGAATTATAGGTGTGAGCCACCATGCCCATCCTATAAGACTGCAGGATCTATTTTTAACCTAAATTTACCTTATAAATTTTATTAACCAAAATTAAACATTCTAGGATTCCATGAAGCACCCATGTCTATTCTAGCTACACCTTTTTAAATTTCATAAAATTTAAAACAGTTTTGTTCTTTTTCCCACAACATTGAAAAATGCCTCTAGTCACTTTTAATAGTATCTTCATACCCTTGATTAGTTTGACATTTTTCATTTTATCTTTTCTATCTTGAACTTAATTAACATGGATTAGGTATGCTGGGATTTATTCTTCAGTGCACCTGTAGTCCCAGCTACTAAAAAGGCTGAGGCAGAAGGATCACCTGAGCCCAGGAGGTCGAGGTTGTGGTGAGCTGTGATCACACCACTGCACTCCAGTTAGGTGACAAAGTGAGACTATAACTCACTAGCTATCCTATAAAGTGAAGTTTACTTTTATTTCAATTTTGCATTGCAGAAGTAAGCCACAAATCATTATTCTACCACAAAATTTTCTCTTCCTTCTCCCAGATTATTATTATTATTTTTTTGAGTTGGAGTCTCACTCTATTGCTCAGACTGGAGTGCAGTGGCTGGGAGCGGCCACTGCAGCCTCGACCTGCTGGGCTCCGGCAATACTTCCGCCTCAGCCTTCCAAGTAGCTGGAACTACAGGTGTGCACTACCACGCCCGGCAAATTTTTTTTGATTTATTGTAGAGATGAGGTCTCGCCAAGTTGCCCAGGTGGGTCTCAAGCCCGTGGGCTCAGGCAATCCACTCACCTCAGCCTCCCAAAGCACGGGATTACAGGCTGAGCCACCGAGCCCGGCTCCTTCTCCCAGATTTTAAGATAGTACATAAATCTTTTTTTTTCCTTGGACCTCATAATAGTCCTACATGTACAGTGTAAATCTTCATATTATAAAGATTTCTAAACCCTGGCTGAAAGTACATTTATTGTAGGCAGTAGCCTATACAACAAAGTTATAATACAATCAAAAGACTTAATCAAGACTTTTGGGATCACTGTAATACATTCAGTCTGATTAAAGATTAAAACTTTTAAGTGGGCTGGGTGTGGTGGCTCATGCCTGTAATCCCAGCACTTTGGGAGGTTGAGATGCGAGGATTGCCTGAACCCAAGGTTTGAGACCAACCTTGGCAACTTGGCGAAACCTCGTCTCTACAATTAAAAAAACAAAACAAAATTAGCTGGACATGGTGGCATGCACCTGTAGTTTCAATTACTTGGAAGACTGTGGCAGAAGGATCACCTGAAACCAACAGGTTGAGGCTGTTGTAGCCATGAGTGTGCCACTGTACTCCAACCTGGGTGACAGAGGCTGGGATTAAATGGGATTAATTTTTGTTGATGCTAAAAGATATCATGAAATAGTTATCCTATTAATAATTCTAATTATGTAATACTTAAAGTAATGTAGAAAATAGAACATGGACTTTGTTAAGAAACTATCCTAGGTTCTTAATTCAGTGATCATCAGGGAGAGCACAATCAGATCTAGACTTTTAAGAGATCTGCTAAGCATCAGAGAGAGAACTGTTTACAAATTATGTTGTAAAAGATCATATACTTATTAGCTGAATGAGGAGGTGAGAAATGAGAGACTCAACCTGACAGGATGATAATGTTTGATGGTCTATTGTCTTAAGTCTTTCTTTGAACAATGAATTAAACCTGTAACCATTTTTTCCTAAAAATATCAATTGGGAAAATGTGTTTAAAAGAATATAACACACACACACACACACACACACGAATATGTATTTTTTGAGTCAGGGTCTCACTCTGTTACCCAGGTGGTGGCATGATCACAGCTTTCTGAAGCCTTGACCTTCTCAGCCTCCTGAGTAGCTGGGACTACAGGTGCATGCCACCATGACGGCTAATGTTTTGGTTTTTTGCAAAGATGAGGTCTTGCTTTGTTGCCTAGGTTGGTGTCTAATGCCTAATCTCAAGTAATCCTTCTGCCTTGTCTTTGCAAAGAGCTAGGATTACGGGGGTGAGCCACCATGCCCAGTCAAAAGATTATATTAATATATTTTTATAAGAAATTACAAAACTGATTTTTTCTGGCGACTTAAAAAATTAATATTCATTAAAAACTAACTCTCCTCTAGGAAGAGACTTAGCCTGTGATTCCTTCTCAGTGCGCATGTATTAGTCAGGGTTCTTCTGAGTCAAGGTGATACATGAAATTAACGATCACAGCCTTCTTTCTTTTTACAAGAAAACACACAAGATCCCAGTCCTATCGCCTTTTCTATATGGGGAGGGCATTTGAGGGATGTAGGTACATCATGACCCCTCTGAACACAT